GGCGAAAGCGTCGTTTTTGGGTGTGGTCAGTTTCGGACGTTTCGTCCCGGATTGGGGTTCGGGCAGCGTTACCATGTTGACCGTCATGGTCAACTTGCTCTAAAACAGTTGAGATTATCTGTCCTAAATGAAATGCATACAATCTCATATACAGGTCCTCGACTATTCCTGTTGATATCAACTGAAGTTGTTGATTTTATGCCTGTACACATATTATATAGAGGTCAGCAGTAAAACCATGGCAACAACATTCCAGAGGTGATATTTGATGTTTATGTACTTGTGGTTTTGAAAGGCATTTCAGAGTGTTTTGGTCTTTAGACGTGTGACCCAATTGCCCAATTTCACAGTCAGCGAGGCAGCAAATGCTCTCACTTGTTTCCGAAGCAAGGTGCTAAATTTAAACCATGCAGTATAGTGCCCTGCATGGCAGTTTATAATCAATGGTAATGTTTGGAATGGTTGAAAATCAATGGCAACGGCAATATAATCTCTATAACAGATGCTGCCAATCCTGCCATATACTTATGGTTATCTTATAGTTTGTGGGAATTGACGGTGTAGGTATCAGGTATGTAAACAATGATTTCGATTATAGGACCTTGATACATTTTGTCGGTTTGTATTAAATATGTATGACAGCTACACACCTCAGACTCACATCACACATGCTAAAATTTCTTTCTCAGCTTTATTTATAATTTTTGTGGCAGTTTACAACATTTCACTTTGGCCATATTTATATAATTATTACAACGTTTAGTTGCTACAGCAATGATGGTTTATTTAATTTATAACTATTAATTATTATCTAAATCATTAGAATCATGTAATCAAATAATCTGTGAATAATATAATAATGTTCAAGGTGAATTTCTTATTGTAACCGCCATGATGAATAGCTCTTATTAATAGCCTCCTGTTATTTGCGGTGCAATGCTTTAAGGCGCCTCTGATACTTGACATATATACATTTTAATTTTACAGAATATTTTCAGTTATTGTGTTCTCGGTATTCTCCAATGTCATAGTCATATGTTATAGGTACTATATCACAATAGTACCACCACAACTTGTCAGCCTCAACAGCCTATTCAACTATGATTTATTTGTTTAACTGTTTTGGTGCTAGCGAGTGTTGACATTGACCTCGCCTATGGTAAACCTTCCTCACGGGTAATGCCCGCATGCCCGCAGCTTTTTTGCAAGTCTGCTCGATTTGCAGAGTAAAACTGGTATTAAAACTTACCGAAATTCATCTGATGCGCGATCCGTCGAACGCACGACAGCTGATGATGTCTGGGCGGATACAGGTGTACTCAGTATACGGTGGGATTCTTCTGATAATCTGTCCAAATAGTTAATTGTACTTTGTAGAACTCGCTTTGTTTCGCTAAACAATCCCTCACCTTTTCCCTTAGCCTGCGAAAACAGCCTCTACTTTGCTGCTCCTATTAATATAACGTCGCACAAAGAAGACTCTTCTTAGAAGAGTCTGCGATTCGAGTGACAACATTCCATACTGATGACGTTAGCGCGACCGCATTTTGGTCGCGCGACGCGCGTTATGATTGGTTTATTCTATAATTTGATATGAATTATGCCAACACATGCAAATCGATTTTGAAATTCAAGATGGCCGGATATGTAAAATGTATCCAAATAGAAGACATTTGCATATTATGTTTATATAATTCAGTACCTAGAAATAGGTTTATCGTCAACGGAAAGGACTCGGTGTTAAACACTGCCTCGAAGCTATTCAACAACCTACCGAACAATTGGAAGTGTACACTAACGACTCGTTTTAGGAACATTGCCAGTGGGGATATAAATTTCTTGTGCAAGACCTGCCTAAAACTTCTTGAGAAAAGAGACAGAATTTTATCAAATTTAACAGAAGTTGAGAACAAGATCCAAGGACATTTTCCCACCAAGAGATCAAGTGAAACAGATCTTGCGTCTCCATCAAAGTTTATCGCACTCAGCGACGATGAGGAAGCGTGCATACCTATTCACACATTACAACCCAAAGCACACAAGTACTCCAGTCAAAGTTGTTCCACCTGTAAAAGTTTCGAAAATCAAAAAATCTTTTTCCGAATGCGAAACTGGCGTAAAGGTATGTTCGTGCGGAATTCAGCACATTTTTACATTATATTTTTACCACAGTAGTGACACATATAAATATGTGATTATGTATTTAATATTTATTTATAATATAAAGGTCGATCCTCCCTCAGAAAAATATACATTCATATCTTTTTTTTTTAAACTTTATAGCTTACAGTGAAATGGCCTTCTCAGACCAAAGAACGTACAATTCAACCTGAACTGGAACCCTTAGGCTGTGCCCTTCTGTTGTATCCAAATGCTGATTGGTCAGCTGAAGTGATTGACATATAAGATTAGGTCACGAGACATTAGATTAGGAGACGCTAAGCCAGAGAGCAAGTATATATGTATAATATAGCAGAGTAAATATATGTTATAAAAGTTGAATAACAGAGGATATAAAAGTGGTGACGAGGTCCTAAAAACCCTAAAACTATATTATGGATACCGAAGGTCAAGATATCAATGCTGAAAACGCATCATCATCAACAACGTCAAACGCTACAAACGCGACAACAACATCGCAAGTTCCACGCAGTGGTTTACCGCCGTTTCCTCCCTTTAATCCACACCAAGATACAGCAACAGTGGGTCAAAGATGGACTAAATGCGTTCGTCGTTTCGAAAACTTGCTTATAAGTCTTCGTGAGTTTGATTCAACCGTTAGGAGAGGTTTATTGTTAACCTATGTAGGCGAGTCAGCCAACGACATTTTCGATATTCTCCCCGACACTGGCACAACTTATCAAGAAGCGATCGATTGTTTCACCCAACACTTCGTGCCACAAGGAAATACAGACATGGCTATATTCGATTTTCGAGAGCTAAAGCAAGGATGACAAAAGCAGTACAATGTAATTTTCACAGCGAGGAAGCCGAGATTAAAACCCAAATTATTCACAAAACCCGCGATTCCC